GTATGGACTGGAAGGGTTACAGACCGTGCCGTCACAACAAGACTACAATGAGGGTTCAGCTGGCAGCCGATGCAATTGAAATAATCAGTCTATCTTATCAGACAGTAAGCATCACCGTTTAACTTTGCAATAGAGAAAAACTTGCTGGAAAGCGATCGTTTGCCGAGGCGCACTATCAGTCGCAATGTGTTGATCAGATGATAGTACAGCAAATGATCAGACAACAAATCACCGCCGTCATAGCACACTGCATGAGTCGTCAACGTCCGCTTGCGAAGTAAACAAGTCTCGTTCACCGCACAAATAGTTTAACACAGAGATCACATGTGGCGTTCTGATCGAACTTTATCATAATAATCATAGTGCAAGGAAGCCAGGAAGGACCAAGGTGTGAAAGAGAGAAAAGGAGAAAGAGATCATGGACAGGGTTCTGCCAAATTTGCTTCGCAGGCACCGTTTCCAGCCTTTACTTTCTCTGTGGACGCACTGTTTCGCCAACAACTTCTTCTGGTAGGTGTAAGCCAATCTTTTGATAAGAAAATAATAACAACGTAATGAGAGCATATGAAGTAAACGGGTATCGTGTAACTATTGGGTTGGGGAATAAGTTCGTTCGGAATAAGTTTCGTTTTTTCAAAGAGCTTTATTTAAACCAAAACAATACTTATAACAATAAATTAATCAAATATGTATTCTCCGTCATTGTTTACGACCTCCTCCCACCTCTCGACCAATTTGTTGATGCCGTTCCGCCAAAAATCGCCAGGTCTAGTGTCGAAGAAGTTGTTGAGCCAGTTTTTGAGGTCCTCCTCGTCTTCGAAGGTAACACCCCTCATTTGGTTTGACATGGAGCGGAAAAGGTGATAGTCGGTTGGCGCAAGGTCCGGAGAGTACGGTGGATGCTGAAGAACCTCCCATTCAAGCTCTTGGAGTGCGGCTTTGACGACTTGTGCCGCCTGGCGCTGTCGTGGAGTAGGATGACGTGACCTTGTCGACCGGGTCTTTTCATCCGAATTGCCTCATTCTCACGGTGCAACTGGGCAGAGTAGAGGAAGAAGAGAAAGTATTGGGTTGAAAGTATTGGGTTGGGGAATAAGTTCGTTCGGAGAAAAAACCGAACAAACTCATTCCCTAGCCACAATAGTTGCCAGCCCTTCCCCCCCCCCCCTTGCTTCTCACAAGGGAACCCTGGCAGGTTGATCCGGCCATTTGGAAAGAGTGTACACCGAAGTACCCGACTCGAGACGCAGAACTTCCACGTGCAGAACGATTTCTCGAGTTTCATGTTTTCCTCCGAGCTCCTTTCCCACAGGCGCAGGAACGGATTGGACCACCAAATGCGCTAAAGTTTTGTAACTAGGGCAGTGTGATACGCAAGAATTTTGCACATTTTACCTGAAAACATAGCATTTGAATTAAAAATGGATCATTGCAAGGGTGACTGGTTGTGACCCAAAGCGATGCTAATGCGTCGTATCGCATTCCACTAGCGTATTCAGGCTAAATTAAACTGATATTCACATACGGAGTCGAACTGCCTCTACTGAGGGCTCATAGGTAAATCGACATCACTTCGAGGAAAAGAATTGCGGCAGCCATGGATGTAAGACTACCGCCAGTGGTCGGTCCTGTTGGCCGGCTGCGCTCGCGTGAAACTAAAGGGACCCCATCTGAAGTGCCATCTACGCGCTTTTTTTTGCATTTTTAATCACAGACGCACCACCTAGCGGGTCCTGTCTAGTTTTAATTCACAGAATGGAGAACAATGAAAAGTGAATGCCTCATAGGCAATTACGCCCCTTAAAACAAAGCTACGTCCTCAGTTTCAGAAAAAAAAACTGAGAGCAGGGCATTTTCTAGATGATGAAATGTACACATTTGAGTGAACGTGAAATTGACCTGAGCATCTTTCTTCACGGCACCAAGTTCCTGCTCCAAAGCTTCTTGTTCGTTTTTCTTTTCCATGGCGGCAACCTTCAAGTCTTCCATTTCTTTCTCTAAACGCGCTAGTACTTTGCCTTCCTTTGTTTCCTTTTTCTTCAGAGCTTCCAGTTCCTTTTCGAGATTTTTCACCTAAAACGTAATATTTCGAACTCACTGATTACACCAGTCAAGCAAATAAGCCTTTGGTGGATGTTCTCTCCTAACCTTATCCATTTCCTGTTTGACTTTCCTGTTTTTATCCTCGGAACGCAGATACTCCAGCTCATTACGAATACGGTCAAGTTCGTTGTCGAACTCCCGCATGCGGTCAACCCTTTCCTGATGGAATCTGAACGAGCACTTGGCTAAATTCTAGTATAACTAGAGGTTGGCGCAGTTCGGCGACGGCGGGGGAGGGAAGGGGGGCGTTTTGCATTTCCGCTGCTTCCCATTGTCGTGTCGAATCATTAAGTAGAGATCCGATAGAGCTTGAACAGGAATGAAGTGATTCCAATAAAGCTTGTAGATACGACTTGTCAATTCTTGTAAAGCATTGGACAGGGCAGTGAAGCGCAGGAAGCGCAAAATGCCCCCTCCCCCTTCGCCGAAGTGCGTCCACGAAGTTTTGTAAGAGAAAGACGCTCACACCGTCATTTTCACGCTTCTTGTCGTATTCAAGAATGTTCTTAATTCCCGACACTTCTTGGCAGAAAACTTGGCAAAAGCCTGAATCGCAGGCAAATGAAGCTCGAGCAAAAGAAAAGAAATTTAAAAAAAAAAGTCCAAAAAAATGACTCACATCATCCGCAACAGCGTTACTCTTCTCTTCGATCTTCGCTATTTCCCTCTCTCTTTCCTGCATGCGCTCTTCTATCTCCTCGATTTTGGGCTAAAATCATGCTGTCAACGTAATTTGCGATTTTAAGCATTGCTGAGGCCTCACATGGACTCACCGGAATCACACTGAGCTCAGACTCGAGGGCTTCAAGTTCGAAGGTCAACTTATTGAGTGTGTCAGTCTCACACTTGGTTTTCTCGAGTTGCATATTTTTCAGCCGATACTCAACTGAGGTCAGCTTATTTCTGAAAGAGACAAAGTTGAAATAATAATCACGAGTGGTGAAACCAACGTTAATAAAATCACGGAAAGCAGTATAACTTTAGTGTGTGGCGCTAAACCACTCTCTCCAGTCAGCTTTGTTCCCTCTTCTGGTCAAAATACTTTTTAGGACATCCGACCACTTCTCCTCCCTCTTCCTACTTACCATTTTTGGGGAAAGTGAAAACGCCGGAAGCGCGCAGAAGAAGAAAATCGTTCCCGACTCGGTCGGGTGAGAGGAAAGGGGGACGAGAAATTTTTTCAGAGGGCAAATAGGACAACTCCCCATCAGGAATTCTCCCAGTGATGTAGATAGCGCATGTGGAACACGAAAAGTCAACGGTCAAGAATAAAATTTCTTGGAGTGAATATGATCCCCTCTCCTTGCAGCGAACGCACTACGACATAGATTTTCGGTGATTCTTTTGACTCATTCAAAAGCGTTCTGCGCCAAAGGGCCGGACAGTACAAGCATACGCAATACTGCAAAGATCAGACAACGAGACAACGAAAGGGATAAAAGTAGGCAAAACCGACCAGCGAACATAAAAACGGATTAGCGGCAGTCACGGCTATATACCTACTGGATAAACTCTTTTGTTTACCTTTGCATCTCAACGTCCAATTCCTTTCGTCGAGTTCTGTGCAGAGTATTGCTCTCCTCTTGAAGTTGGGTCCACACGATTTACGTCTATTGTCTAAAACACTGAATTACTCGCACAATTTTCAAAGGATTCATTATCTACTGGCGAAAACTGAAAGCGTTGGCCGCGAATGGCTGGGCTGGCGTTGCTGAAAACGTCATTTGGTGGCAAGGGCTGAATGGGGTTGTGCCAAATCCCTCTCGCAGCCCATCCACCAATAACGTTGGCAGCAACCGCCCGCCCTCGGCCAACATGCCCCTTATCTTTAACAAACCGTTCAAAAACCTACTTCAAGTCCCTCTCGTCCCATTTCTTCGCACGCATTTTCAACTCATGACTACCACCTCCAATCACTCCGCTTTGCTGGAACATGGTTCCATCCAAAGCAACGGCTTTGTATCTGTAAGAAAATCGTAGTTAAAAAAAACGAATCCCTTTAGAGAAATCTTGAAGTTGACTCGGACAGACCTGTCACCTCCAGCGCTACCATATGCAAGAGTCCTCGCGTCTTCAGCAGTTTCACAAATCAGTGTCATTACGCATCGCGAATTTGTAGTGGCTTTTCTTGCTGGCGGATGATTGCACTGCAAAGCGCAAAATAGGCAAAGCCAAATCTTCAAAGGTTTCGAAAACATTCAAAGAACATTAAACTTTCAAGAATCATGAACACTACGGTGATTCAACTACTGCAGCCTTAAAGATCACATGGTTGGAGTGTAGATCTAATAAGAGAAAAAAAAACAATCAGGCACACTGTGCTTCGTTTGTACGAGGCATACAGCCGAAAAGAAATGCGTGTCTGGAGACGAGTTTCATTTGTTGTCAGTCACGACATGCATCGCCGCTTTCCCTTATCAACTCACTCCCATCCCGCATTCACATATTGGACTGAAGCAGAAGAACACGCCACCCACGCAATCTTTAGAAGATACGTTGGGGCGGGTTTTAAGCAGTGGGTGGGGCACTGCTTCCGTCACGTGCGGTTCACGTCCTTATGACGCGTTCTTGAGCGATGAATGGCACGCCTTTTATAACTGTTGACAAAATTGCCTTGTTCAAGTACGGCGCCTGCACATCAAGTGAACGCGGAACGTGCCTTTACCATTTTTGATAACAATAAGGTCAAAATCATGTGAAACTTTCACCACAATTCAGTCTCTCCCCGGGCCTATACCCCTCATTACCTTAAAGCGTCTGAGTATGGTAATGTTTCAGGAAACAAAACCATTAAACCTGGGCAAAAGTCCGTTGACGTAACAAACAGCGAGCTCGCCCGGCAAACGTGAGGTATGGGTTCGAGGGTCGAGTCTATCGTCAACAACTCGGCATCCTGCTGATAAATGTTACAAGACTAAAAAGTTTAAGATGTCCTCACCTGGATCACGTCAAGACCAACTCACCGTTTCGGCGTGAGCTCTCGAAGTTTCTCGTTGATGGGATGAACGTCAAGGCCATGATTAGGTAGGAAGGTTTCAGGAGGATAGCGTTGTTCCTGGAAATGCATGGGAATTACGACAAAAATGTCTTTCGATTATTGGAACTAGAAGAACTGAAAAAAATTCCTTCCATATGCCTTTCTTCTGAAAACCTATGATACTATTAGGTTGGCGGGAAAGTTCTGTCATACTTTTTGAACCCAAGTATTCGCCTATTACCTGAAGAGGGCTAACCGGTAATGTGAGCATTTATACATTAAGGATTGATCTTTCTATTAGTGTCACTGGCTCGGCTCCTGCTCATCCTTATTCTGCATTATGGACACGAATGTTATCCGCTACCTTCAGCACCGACCCCTTCAAGCGCTTCCTTGAACTATTTCTTCTACCACCTTGGCGCCAGCATGGCAGCTGTCGACGCCGAAATAATGGAGCTGCACAAGGACACTGTCTACAGATCGTCAGATAATGCTTCCACGAACCCTAGCTCTTCTCAGAGGCGGAGCCTCGGTCGAAATGATGACGTGAGGTTGGGGAGTACCTTAAACCCGCTAATGAACGGTGGGTCGGCAAGACTGCTGAAGAAGCTGCCTCCTCGATCAATCCGTACGCAAGGCGGCTACGAGATCTGAAGCGAATCGTCAAGCAGAGGGCAAAATCCATCGGCACAGTCCGTCTTCAACGTGCTGGTGCAGCACACCCCGTCAAAAAAGTTCGAGCCGTACTTCATGCAATAGAGCTGGATGGCTCTCCCCTTGCACCGGTGTAGTCCAGACATTGCTCTTTCTGACTGCTAGTCGCCTCCCGTATTCAACCGTTATACAGCCGAGAAAACCTCCACGACTTGAGCCCAAGTCAAAGTTGAGATGATGTTCAACTTGCGTCGCGCCGGCGTGCATTTGTTAGCGATGGCATCCACGAACTGTCCACAAACTGGCAAGGATCTCTCAAGAACATTGCTGTATAATTTTGATCTTGTACTTGCTGTATAATTTTGATCTTGTACGCCTCCTCCTGTAAAAAATAAAGTCTAATTTGAAAAATGTTGAACTTTCCCGAAACCTCTAATACTACTCTCAGGACAGTTCCCACTTTCTGTTAGGATATCTGTTCGTAACACGCCCGCCCATTACAACAAACTGCTTGGAAACTGTACGCCACTGCCTACTCTATCGGAGCAAAAAAACCTGAAGTAAATATCAATTCACCTTCAAATACATGATCGCATCCCTTGCAGTATCTTCAGTGTCGCAGACAATACTCGTCATATGCTTTTGGAGAACTTTCGTCACAGCCAAATTGAAGCGCTTATGGCTAGGCTGGCACAGATCGACCAGACGACCATGGACCTGGAAAGGTATTCTAGAGCGTCACATTTAGGCACACCTCTGAGATCGCGTCCACACACTTCGTCGCCCCTGGGCGCTCGCGCATTCAGTCGTCAACATCAGATGCGAGACCCACATGCCGCGCGAATAGTGATTGCTGCGTCGAGCCCAAGCGATCCGACGGCGGAGTATGAACGCGTTCCAAAGGGTTACAAGCAAACTTGACGTAGAGAATGAACTGAAATGTTTTGACCGGGTTTGAAAATCGTTTTTTACCTTGTCTGGGAAAACCCTCTTCAGATTTTCAATGGCTTCATTGCGTCGTCTTACACGCTCTGATTCCGCCGAATCACCACTTGCATCAGAGAGCTGTTTATTGATTTCGTTAAGCTCAATAGATACCTGAAAACGGCAAGGTTGGGAGTAAAAGACAACAGAAATGACTACAACAGCTATTTCAGCACCTTCTCTAACTTTTCCTTGCTTTCCTTCACTTGCTTCTCCATTGATACCAGATTGACTTTCTCGTTTTGGAGGACCTGTTTCTGTTGTTCCGCATTTTCCGTAAGATAGTCAATCTGAAAAAAATTACCGCATATGAAATTAATGTATCGATCAACAAAGTTCAGTCCCCTAACAGGCCTTATTTGCATCATGCGGCTTTTTAACACATTACGGACCGCGAGACACACAGTGTGTGTCACACGTGTCTGCTCTCTGTGGCCGCGTGACACAACAATGTGTGTGTCACGATCTTCAGAAGCTAAAATTTCCCTATGTTTTGACTGTTGCGCGAATTCTTTGAGTCGTTATATATCCCTATAGAGGTACGAATTCCTGCATATGGTTGGGCCATAAAAAGCACCGGTAGTTTATTTGTAAAACATTTTTCGAAAGGGTAGCCGGCACTACCGAACTATTCTACCCGTCTGCCGAATCAGGCTGGTTTTTCACGACTTTTTTCTATACAAGGGCAGAGTTTCGGCTCAAGCAATTTCCGTCGTCGAAGGTATTTAACTTCGACCTCCTGTACAAATATCACATCCGTTTCCGGAGGACCGAAACTGCCTGGCGCCGCGCCACAGGCGCCGATGCCAAAACACCCTAAACCACCAAAATCGATGAAAACTTGTGTACGGGGTTATTTTACATCCTGTTTACGAATATGACATTTATTCCTGGCGCCGGCGCTGGATGAGGATATGTTCATACATTGCCGCGGAGAAAGAGCAGAATCGGCGTTCCGGAATAAATAAAAAGGCCTCTTGATTAGCTGGTCCATAGATGGAACGCGGTTTGTCAGGGTCAGCATGAAAAATGAATGTATATTCGGATCGCGATCGCCTGAGTACCCAATGCAAAGTTACATCGATTGCTAAATAGCGAATGCGTGCGCCCATATTGCTCCTGCTCGCGGCGTGCTTGGGATGTGAAATAACCCCCACGTACAAGTTTTTAGAGTGAAATAATCAGTGAGAAGAAATCGCGACTGAAACCTGTCCCGTGTGGCCGCGTGACACACGTGTGTTGTCACGCCAGCCTAGTTGCATCGAAAAATCCGCGGGCTGAATGCCCCGTGAATGCCCGAAATCTGGCGTCGACGCCGAACAGTTTAAATAGGTTAGTTTGTGCGAATCTGTAGGTTTTCGGTTGTCTATTTTTGAATGGCCAGCGCCACGCGGGTATAAAATGGTGCATTCGCTGTCGCTCAACTGCTCCATGGACGAGAGATGATAATAAACAGCAAATGGAAAGGAAAACACTAGGGAGCCTGCCCGGAATGCTCCCTATCGACCTCCATGCTCAGCCGCGCTGGTACGCGCACAATGCCAAGAAAGGGAGTGGTCGGACGAGTTTGCACTTGTTGGCGTTTGGTCCCACTCTCATGGTAATCTGCTGGAGAAGAGAGGCTGAGGCAAAAACGAGCGGAACCGCACAAATCGCAGATGCATATTAAAAATGAAGTTTGGCAACTTGGGGTCAGCGTCTGGGGCAGTGGCCTGCTCATGAACATGCGGCGCATTTCCCACGCATTTTTGAGCTGCGAATTAGTACTTTCAGGCGTTCCCCAGGGAAGAGACCTGAAAGAGTGCAGTTTCTCTGTTAAAGACACATAGTACGCTCATACACATTGAGGGTGTATGAGACTATCAGCCCCCCAGATGTCGATGTGTCGTGGTCCCCCCGCCCAAACATGCCCAGGAATGGAGATACAGGGCCGTGAAACACGCTAATTCCTCCATGCTCCGCGCCACTGCCTTTTACGGCTCAGATTCCCGCCGTTCATAACCATCCGTCCGTAAACTGGCGCCTGTGCGGCGTGCGGCTTCCTTGGCACTTGCCAAGCTCTTTAATTGCGCTCTAAAAATGCAAGTAAAACGCGATTTCCTGATGCGGATAACATTGGAGGTGCTACAAAATAAGAGCAGAAGACGATGACAAGGGGCAGAACTCAAGAGCAACTCGGCTGCATCTGCAGTATCCATCAAGGGCCGCGCATTCCACAAAACATGAAAATAAAAACAGCCCAAGCGTCCCACTCGTTTGTTCTAAGTATTTCTATGGCTTTGGCGCCGGATCGTAGAAATTTACAGGCCAGTTTATCTAATTTGCCTTTCCTTGATTTTTTCATTTTTGTTTTGTTTACATTTACATCGTTGTGCTTCATTTCTAGCCTGTGTCATCTTCATCTCCTTGTACATGGATTTTGAAGCATGAGCAACACCTCAAATTTTATTCGCATCAGGAAATTGCGCCTTGCTTGTATTAAACTAACGAGTATGCCGTTTTTATTTCCATGTTTCGTGGAAGTACGTGGCTTCCGAGGGATGTTGCAGAAGTGGCACAGTTGCTTTTGAGTTCTGACCCTCGTCATCATCTTCTGTTCTTTACTTGCAGTCATTCCCAGATGTTAACCGCATCCAAGAAATGGTGTTTTCCTGTATCTGGAGCGGCAATTAAAGGACTTGGCAAAGTGCCAAGGAGCCGCACGCGACAGGCGCGCTTACGACGGATGTTATGAACGGCGGGAATCTGCGCCGTAAAAAGGCAGTGGGCGGAGCATGGAGGAATTAGCGTGTTTCACGGCCCTGTATCTCCATTCCTGGGCATGTTTGGGCGGGGGGACCACGACATATCGACATCTGGGGGGCTGGTAGTCTCATACACCCTCAATGTGTAATGAGCGTAACGGCATGTGTCTTTAAGGAGATTCCGGTAATTACTGCTTGCTTCTGAGTTGTCGCTCAAATTTCCTTTTCTTCTTATTTTTGATCTTTCTGCGCTGTCCAAGGCTTTCATGCCGACGGTTCTTTCGTTCACGTTTCGAGCGTGAAATCAGCCCGACAGCATTTGAGGACTGGCAAAGGACTTCAATGACCCGCGCAAGGCTAATATAAAGGGGGGCCTGTGTGTGCTTGGTTTACGCAGATCACAAAAATGACAAAATAGCAACAAAAGAAGTCTTCGCCGTTCATCCATTAGATGAGGCACGCATTCTACTTTCATTCAGAATCGCAGTGGCTCAATGAATGCGGCATGACAATGAATTGCGAGGGCCAGACGATATTACAACTCAGTATTTTTATCCTTGCATCTCTATTATCTATCCCAGTCTGGTACCCATTTACTGCCCCAGAGAGTAGAAAGCTTGGCTGGCCTTTGCGGGAGCCGATCTGGGATCTGTCTCCCGGACCGCGCGCATGGTAAGCTTACCACTTGCCGCTAAAACACTTCCGCCTTAGTAAAAAAAAAATAGTACTGAAGAACACATACCTTCGATCAGTTTCGTGTTCTTGCCTCATCGAATTGAGCTGCATATCCATTAGACCAGATCTTTTAGCAGCTTCACGCTTTAAGCATGACATACTCATTAATCTAAACCCACTGGGGCTCTTAGGAAAGCACAGGTCAGACAACATGCGAAAAAAAAAATGCGTTAGGAACTGAAAGGAGACCATCACAAACCTGGTCTTCGCTCAGATGTAGATCAAGTTCCTGGCTCTGCGATTCAAGTTCTGCTTCACATTCAGCTTTCTTCCTCTCCAGCTCTCTGTAATTAAAGACTGTAATGGCAGAAGGATGGCCAAGGCGGTGTCAAATAAGGCAAAAAAAAATAGAAAACTGAGGAAAAAGTTTGGAAATGGATCGCATACTTTGCAGAGTTCTCCATGGCTTGCACCTGCTCTTCATTGCGTTCAGCAAGCTTCTGCGCAGCATTCAACGTTTTATTACAGGTTTCTAGCTTGGTCTTCACATGGAGGACTTCCTGCTTTACTTGTACATACAATGGCCGCTCATGGGCGATTTCTCGCTCCTACAAATATGATTTGCCGGGCCTGATCTTGGAAAAAATAACGAGTTTCAACCCGACTTT